GTTTAAAAGTTTTTTCATTTCTCTTTCCATTAGATGAACATAAGTATTTTTAAATATAGGCTCTGTATCTGAGATGTCATAATCAACAAATAGCTCAAAGTTCTTCGAATATTATGAACACAAACTACCCAAAAAAACTCGGTCTGCAAAATCTTTGCAGAATCTGTAAAGATTCTGCAATCTGCAGTTTTTCTGCAATGCAGATGTGCCAAGATTTGGCCAAAGATCTGATGCAGATCTGCAATAAAATCTTTACAGTTTCTTTGCAGAAAAACTGCAGTTTTTTGCAGATTTTTCAGCGTGCTGTGGGACTGTGGGATATACATTTATTTCATATATTTCAAATGTTTTGACACAAATATACAAACAAAAAAAAAGCTGTAAAAATCTGCAGTTTCTCTGCAAAAAACCTGCAAAGAAACTGTAAAGATTTTTTTGCAGATCTGCATCAGATCTTTGGTCAAATCTTGGCACATCTGCAATGCAGATCTGCTTCAAATCTGCAGAATCCTTTTGCAGAATCTGCAAAGTTACTGCAAAGATTTTTCCAGATTTATGTTGCAGAAAAATCACCTGGGTAGATAGCGTGTCATTTTAAATGCTGCAAGAACTAGACATTTTAAATATTTGGAGAAAATGCTCTCTTCATTTTTATCTTAATCTGACTCTTTCTTTATGTTTTTATTAGCTCTTTGCATTTTGTTATACTTTCTCCTTTCTTAATTAGATTAGCAATCAAACTTTTTTTCTTTCTATCTTTAACAAATCAATTGATATAGGGAATTAAATAACAGGGAACTACTTCCTTAACTTTTCGGATGGATTAGGAAACGATTTCTCTTTAGATACTCAACAAATACGGTTATGTTCATGATCTATGTTATATCACGGCGCGGGATTAACGTATTACTTTTGTGCTAACATACCGTTGTTCAAATGCAAATTGCTATTGAATATGCGTGTTACCTTATAAAATAGAAATACATGTTCCTATGTGCATTAATTCTTTGTGCATTGAGAGAAGAAAGGAAACGGAAAGAACGATTTATTGCGCGAATTCAGTGTAGGATACTATTTTGCAAAATGTGTCGATGGTCGGATTAAATTGTTGGAACTCATCAGGTTTAGACTGCTGTAGCAATCAGTACGATGTATCATCGAACAAGGCAGTTGTGCAGCTTGTATGTTCTTTAGCCGCCTGTCGAAGATGTTTCAACATCCACAGGGTCTCGTCGCAGTACTGAGAGGCGCTCCTGGCCTATCGGTAACCATCTTGTTCTGTTCCTAGGCTACCCACCTACCAATAGGACTCTAAAATTTACTGGCTATAGAAAAAGATCAGAAAATCTTTACCTTACACCAAAAGGTATGGGTAATAAATCTATCTATCTATGTTTCATTAGATAGGACTAAAATACAACGAGACAAAACTATCGTCCATCTTATATATTCATTAAATAAGACCAAAATGTAATAAGACTAAGAAAAGAACACAACTATCGCCCGTCGTGGATGTTCATTGAATAAGACTAAAATGTAACAAAATTGATGAATGAACAAACTATAATCCATCTTAAGAACTATACAACTAAGAATACAATCTTAGAAAAATAATGAACGAATGTGAATTCAATGGACGTGATAACTGGAACGAAGAGAAATATATAAAGATGTATATAATTCTAGTATGTCACGGTTGCTTCTTGCTCCAGCAATTTTTATTCATGTTTTATACATATGAGAGATTCTTTTGCTTGTTATTGTCCTGTCTTTCGTCGTGGTGGTTATGGATAATGGGTGACCTTCAGTATTGCAGCATAGTATTTTTGTAAAACTTAAATTAGGACTTCCAAAACAAATTGTTTCGTCTTTAGTCGCAATTCAGATCTCTTATGTTGTTATTGATTGTTACCGAAGATTTCTTCTTAATATAACAATCAATTCTGTTCACATATTGACTTAAGGAATTAACGGTGAATCTGATAAAATCAGCTATTAATTTATAATTTTTCAGTGATTAGTATTTAATGCTACTAGTCGAAGGATACATGACAAAAAAGTCGTAACAACGAAAAAAGAAACTACAATCTAAGTACGATAAAGAATGTAAAAGTAGAGAAATAACCCTGACAAAAGTATGTACAACAGGTACAAACAAAACAGTACTGATGTATAAAGAAGAAAAGAACAACTTGCTGCAAAGTCGATTGTCCTCGACAACATGACTGTTAATGTTCAAAATTCAAAGATTTCTGGACGACATGAAAAATGCATTCAAAACTAATCTTCCATCATCAATTCATCATTTAATAAAACGAGTATTGGAAGAACAAGATAATGATTCTACAGCAAAACAACCGAGAAATAATGAACGTGAACAAATAACATTACCAACTTTCGAATTGGATCATAACTTGGCTGAATAAAACAAAACTAATCTTCCATCATCAATTCATCATCTTCTGATCGATAATCTTCATCGGTATCATTCGCTTCGTCTTCGTTGAACGCCCCAAAACTTTCAAATACACGTGGTGTTAAAAAATAATTTTTAATTTCATTGCCAAAATGAGAAAATGCTAGACTAATACTGTGTTCATCAATACCAGTAATTCGCCAATTTTTCAAATGAAAAATCAACATGAGCATGACAATTGAATGAGGAAATGAGAAGTTTCGTAAAGAATATTTAGCACGGGAAATAAATTGAAAAGCTTGTTCAGCAGCCTGACTGTTCAAGCCGATAAATCGCCCTGCGTGTGACGGGTGATCCGACTTCATTATCATTTGACACATGGATCAAGAGTGCGTGCGTTGATGAAAATTATCAAGAGCAAGGTAAGTCGGAAGTTGTTTAGTTAAGTTTGGTAATTTCAGCATATCTGTACCGAGCCATTTATTCCAATGAAGTTTTAGTGCACAGGCGCAGTCTTACATGAGGGCGTCCGGCATACGACAACCATGAATAATCATATGTAAAAGATGACGAGTAATTGATCGCATACCTTCCGCTTTGATTGCCTCTGTATATCCTACAGCAACCCCACAAGGATGATAGGATACTAAAATTTCATACGTTCGGTTCTTTCGAATCTCTTCACTATCATTCCGATAGTTTTGACATTGACTTTTGTGATCTTGTAAAGACTCTTGATCTCGTTGCTAGAATAGGATGTTGTTTAATTAGTGAAGCAGAATGCTATTATAAGAAGTCATAATCTAAGAAATCAGACAGTCGTATCCGAGGGGGAAAAGGCAGATCCTAGTGGGACCTAGGAGCCGCAGGATCTATTAGGATCCATCAGGATTTACTGGAACCTACTGGGATCCGTTAAGATCCTAGGAACCGGTATCCGCTTTTGCTTCTTGATCATATAAGCATTTGAAACTTAAATCGTCATTGTATAGTTCAAATATATATTTAAAAACTTGATTTAGTAAGTAGCTACATTTTAAAACCCTTTATTAACATATATTACCAGAACTAGTTGTCGTTTCTTTACTTGTTATTTCTTTGCATTTTAGACGTATACTAGAAGTGATGGTCTTGTAGTTGAACTATTGAAGGTATATGGTATAAAAGAAAATACAGTTAAATATGCTTTAAAATTAATTGATGCATTATTTATTGATAAACAAGATTTGCAAAATGCTGATTCTAAAAAAATTGATGAAGATCCACGAGTTAAAGCAATATATGGTATGTAACTAATTAAAATATTTAAAACATATTTTATCGGTTTTCATATTATCTTATTTGTTGTAGGTCCAATTAAACAAAAGTTCAACTTTTCAGTCGAAGAAATGTCAATCATTTGGCCGCCTGTTCATGATTCTATTCTTAGCAAACGACGCAATCAAGGGAAAATATTGAAGGCAAATGTAACACAAAGTAAGATGAAACAAAAAAATTCTGTTTTATAAATTATTTGTTGACTGTTATTTTGTTGTTTTTTCAGATGAATCGACTTCAACTACTTTGACATTACAAGTTGTTAATCACAACAATAATGAACAACAAGATGAAACAGGTGCAGGTGAACAGTAAGGCGAAACAGATGAAGATGAACAAACATAATGATTTAGTTTAGTTTTATATTTACTAATGCTGTTCATCTTCCTGCTTAAAATCTTGTTGGTCCTTTACCTTTTTTTTTTACATTACAGTACTTTTCGTGTGCTTTCTTTTCTATTTAAATCTTGTTAACTTATTTTAATTTTATCTACACATGAACAATCACCATAAAGCGAACAAAGGCGTTTTATGCCAACTAAAAGTCGTTGTAAGAGAAAAGAAAAAATGGTGAAATGTTAGCGATAAAATCCAAACGAATCGCCTGTAATGATTCGGAGGAAATCGCGATAGATCGCGATTTTGGTACAAAAGTCAGCAAAAAGATCGGCAAACTGGTCGATTTTATCGCGATAAAGCACACAATTAATCGGTCCGTAAATCGCGATAAAATCGTCGATTTTTCTGCGATTTTCATCCCATGGGAATGATCGCAGATATCTTCAACTTCTAAGTTTTCATTTCATATCTGTCCAATGAGACGAGTTATCAGAGCACTGAACCAGCTATTTCCTAGAGAATTGCAAGCAATATACATATAATTCAGCCTGAGTTGTATATAATTTATCTTCTTCGTACGGCTCTTAATTGCTAGAATACTTTTTTATTACATAAGTATTATTACCAGAGATGGGCGAGTACGAGTATATACTCGAGTACAAAATCTTCAGTACTCGTACTCATACTCGTACTCGGTAGTTTTCTTTACGAGTACTTAAAAATATACTCGAGTATTTTCGAGTACCTGAAATTTTTCCACTAGTATGCTGTACAAAGAATTTTTGGGCTTGTGAATTTTGTATCTTCTTCAGACATTAAAAATTTAAGACAAATGACTTAACATACAATAACCTATAATTAAAATAAGAACAAATCAGGCTATTTTCTTCTTCTTTTCTTTCTTAGTCATTCTTGATAG